TTTTTTGTGTCTTCGTTTGGTCTCAATGTCCTAGGACATTAAGATATCTTATAAGACGTCTTGCAAAAGCCATAATTCAGACGTATTAATGTGAGAGCTCAAAGACGTTCTTAAGACATCTTAAAGACGTCTTGCCAAATCCATATATTAATGTGAAAGCTCAAAGACGTCTTATAAACGGACGTCTTATAAACGGACGGAAACTTGGACAGTTTACATAATTCAAATTTAACAAGAAGAATCAAATGAAGTGAAGTTTGACGTTTGACTTAACATTACATTCAAGCCGGACTTCCGATTCGGACACCGTCGTGGCACCATTGAAACGGCGCTCTCCGAATCGGGAGCCCACAAAATATCTAGTATAAAAGTGACCATCCGACTTTAAAAAATATACAAAATTAAACAAAATATTTAGTGTAATATTTGGAAAAGAATATTAAAACGAAGAAAATAAGAAGTACACTTAAGCCCAAGTCAAAAATTTGTATGGCCCAAGCTTATTGTGAATTATTGATTATTTTATTGCGTGTCTTTGGGTAATTTTGAGCATTTGTGTCTCTTTCTACTTAAATAATATGGGACAAAAACCAGTGAGGGAAGAATAGTTTCTGTTACCGATGTAGCACGTTCCTGGAATACAGGTAATAAATGAATATTTGTTTATATACATAGAAAATTAATATATTGTTTCTTCTAAGTAATTAAATTAATTTAAAAGTACACATCTTAATATAAGATTTAATTCAGATATTCGTAAGTTATCATTTTTTTGTTTTTATGGAGACTTTAAGACCTATTAATATCAAAAAACCCCTATTAGATAGTCATTTTGAGTGAAGGTAAAGTAAAATTGTTAAAGTAGGCGATTAAACATAATAGCTCATATTGCATTAAATGATTATAAAAATTCTTTGATTTAAAATTCTAAGAAATTAATTGTTTTTTGTTTTATGAATAACTGTACTTTCGGTTTTTACTAACTTTTGCAAAGTATAATTTTGTGTGACTAGGTGCTCTTAACTAAATTTCTTTTTAGGAGCTTTACAAAGGCAACTACAAATCAAAGATAAATAGAAAAATCAATCCAGTTATGGCTAAAGAGAATTGATCGAATGCGCTACAAAGAAAATAACTCTTAGTGGCCTATGAGTAATAGATATTTTATCAATAAATATTTTTAATTTTATTTTTTGCATTCTTTATTACCTGCAAGATTCTTCTACTAATATTTTAATAACCAAGATATCCGACGTCCTCCATTTATAAGACATCTTGAAGATTATTTTAAAATCACATAAATATAAATTCAATTTTAATATATTTATTATTCTCGTACGTGCTAATTTCTACTTTTTTTGGATCCCCAGAGCGCTCTGGTTGATCGCGTCTGTCGGTGCAATGTGTTGATAAAACGCGAGAAGTTTCCGCGAATGCTTGCAGTTAAAAAGCAAGGTCAACAGGTCCGCGAAACAAACAATCTGGATTACGTCAGTCAACTGTACCAGGTCAGTTTCTGTAGATCTTCCTGCTCGGTACGCGTGTTGGCTGTGGTGGAGTGGCACCCTTTCCAGGACTTCCGTTCTGATATAATTATCAACAGCCTTCTCCATTGTTTTTAATACAAAGGATGTGAGACTAATTGGTCGGAAGAATTTAGGATGTGTGGTATCCTTTTTCCCTACTTTTGGAATAAAAGTGACTCTGGCCCTTCTCCATGCTTCTGGTATATATCCCAGCTCCAGACTGCTCCGGGATAGCCGGATTATGTGTGGTAGTAATTCGTCCTGTGCCTGCTGAAGCAGGGCAGGAAATATTTCATCCACACCTGGAGACTTAAACGGTTCAAAAGTGTTTATGGCCCACTTTAACCGATTTTTGCTCCATATCTGTTTGGCCACTACAGCCGCCTCTCTTTGGGGCCTGCTTACCTTAGTTGTGTTCCTTATTAGAGAAGGTAAGCTTCCAGGAAAGTGAGTTTCGAGTAAGAGGCGAGCTCGTTCCTCCTCACTCTTCGTGAAGCTTCCATTTGGTTCCTTTAATGTCATAACTGTATCAACTCTCCCTTTTGCCAGGGCCCTGTACAGTCTCGCTGCCGCAGGTGTAGAGTTAAACATCCTCGCAGAATTTTCTAAAGCTCTTACGTTTAGCTTTCCTGATTTCTTTGTTGTAGGTAATAAGCGCCTCGGTGTAACTCTGCCAATCTCCGCTGTGCTTGGCCCTATTATAGAGCTTACGCACTTCGGATCGTAAGTTTGACAGATGACGGTTCCACCAAGGAGCATCCCTACTAGTTCTATGTCTTTGAATGGGGTAGCTTGATTCATATGCTTCAAGTATTGCCCCATTTAGTTCTTCGAGATCGCTTTCCAGAGCAAGTGGGTGCCCGGGCCCCTTTTTTGTTTGGATACGCGCTAAATTTTGTTTTAGAATGATGTTGTATTTGTCCCAGTCTGTTTTTCTAGGATTTCTCCTAAGGATCGTCTCAGGAATGTCGCTCTCTAACGTAAACACAATTATATTGTGATTAGATAGAGATGGTATACTCGATACCCTCCAGTTTTTAACTAGATCTTTAATGCTCGGTGTGCCTAATGTGATGTCTAATACCTCACTTCTTGCCCTTGTTACAAATGTTGCAGTATTCCCAATATTTTGCACAATTAAAAATATATTCTAAAAATTGCTCACCTCTTTGATTGGTGTCGTTGCTTCCCCCATACGGTGCTGTGCGCGTTGGCGTCGCATCCAAGAAGTAATGGCAAATGTCTTCTCTGGCAGTACTCCACTAGCCTCAATGCTTCCGAGGGTGGTACATGCCCATCTCCGGCGAAGTAACTAGAAGCTATTACTATGTCTTGTCGCCTCATCTCTAATTCCAGGTAGGCTCGAATTGGAACAAGATCACGCGTCATGAATTCTGAAAGACAAGAATATTTAATATTACTTCTTACCATTATGCATGTTCTGGGTACTTCATCACTAGTGTGATAAATTACCCTTGCATCCTTACATGCAAGTCCTCTTACCTAGTTTCCATAGACCCACGGTTCCTAATTGATCTTTAGTGAATGTCCTGGAGATCACAGCCGAGGCTCCCTTGGCGTGATGGACATTCACTTGGGCGATGTCGATACCCGCCATTTTACTCTCCATTAATGGGGGTGTTGTCCCCATCGGTGAGGGTGTGTTCCATATCCCCCTCTTCTGCTTCTTCATTAATTTCTACATCCTTAGATGAATCTACGCAGAGATTTGAGAAGTTAAGGCTCTCTATGCTCTCCACATCAGTCTCATCTTTGGAAGTACTAGGAGTTGGTTCTGTTGTTTCTCCCAGTTTCTTTATTTCCTCTTTCTTTTGAAGGCCGTGTACGGTGATTTTCCCGAACCGACAGTGGATAGTGCATCCATTATCCTTGATCCGTTGGCAGGATAGGTCATCTATTCCTAACCTAAGGATCTGGCCTTTGCCCTCGTGTTTTTGGCTGACGATTTTCCACAGTGTGGTCGATAGCTCCACATTCTGCGCTTTTATTAGCTGTAGAAGCTTCTCTACAGGCTGCGCTTGACATCTTGGGAGAAAGAGCGTGGCTGAATGTGCTTTCGAGATGTCCTCTCCCGCACATACCTCCAACTCCACTCCCTTCCAGTTGCTCAGATGTGAAATTTTTGCCCTGAGCCATTCTGTTGACTGTGGGGTTTCACAGTCGATTAAGATCATTCCTGGCCGGAAGTGAATGCCTCCGAATTGGAGCTTATGCTCCCATTCAGCGTACATCTCTTCTACTATGGCTTCTTCCACCAAGGTTTGTTCGTTCGCATTGAGGATGGTCTCCCACTTCTCTCTTGTGAGGTTGTCTCACTTGAGAGGTTGAGGAAGGTTGATCGCTTCGGATGGCAGGCTTCGTTTGATCAGATTTAGTGGCGGTGTAGTCCCGCCGGTTTTTACTTATTGTAGTTTTCTTGCCCATTTAAATCCCACGAACAGCTAGGGAAAGAAAAGTCGACCGACGCAGAGCCCCGCATGCGCCGGCAAGGCTGGATACAAGAGGGTTTCGCCAGGTGCCCTCAGAGGAACGTTCAAAATCGCTTTCCCAGCGGCCATTCAGCCTTCAGCACGTTGCCTTACACCTTGGCTTGGGGTATTGATGGAGTGCCATTTAGTTAGTTAATAGTGCTGTTCATAGAGCAGCAATATTGACGTATCCAGCGGTGCCACGAGGAGGCAGATACTCGATGATTGCATTTCTCCATTGGCATGCAGAAAGAGTTACCTACAAGCGGACAAGCAAACAAGCAAGCAATCTAAGCTACAAAGCAATGGCTAAACTACAACCAACCCCCTATCGAGATGTAAAATATATATACTCATACTTGGATCAATGCAACGTATGTCGGTTAATCAGAGATGAAACTATTTGACTATGGTAATTGTATAAAATATTAAAAAAATATTATTTTCAAGAATACATTAATTTTAATAATAATATTCATAGCTACTCTACCAGAAATTACAGTAACTGGCACATAGAACAAATAAATGAACATCAACGAATTTCTTATTTTTCAAATGCTTTGACCATTACAACAAATTGTCGTTTTGTATTAAAACTAGTTCGTCAGTAACAGTTTAAAAAAAATTATGAAATCATTTTTATGATTAATGGGATAAAAAATTATTTGATGGTATCGATATGTATATTTCTGTATTATTTTATTTTTTAGACTTTTGTGTTCTGAATTTTTATATTTTGGACTTTAAATTGTTTTTTTTTTGTTTTGTTCAGTCATAAATTGTATTTTTTTTCCATACTTTGTATTTTGCAGTTTGAATTTGAGTGTTTTTTTGTAACATTTAAAAAAAAATTGTTTGTATTGTTAGTGTTACCTACTTCAATAAATATATTTCTACCTTTTACTACTTTTTAATAACAAAATTAATTCAACCCAATTGATGGAAACAACCGGCGTCAACTACTAACGATATTGATCCAAATTATTTTTCCTTTTTCCGTGTGTCATACAAAATTTCATCTTAATTCACGCTTCCTCGAAATCCAAACATATTTCTCCACCCATGAAATCACATAGCCTGTTATCTCATTGAAACTATAACAAATAGCGATGTCGCTTAAACACAGATGTTGATTCACTGACATATCATCATCTCCTACACTAAACTAATAAAACCGTTTTGAATTACCACGCGGTGTTGGTCCCAAAATAAACCTAGTGAACCATCTTCATAGGGTCGACCTGCCGCTGGATTCCAGCTCATGGTATTTCGCGAACTGATGTCATCGGATTACTTAGTTAAAAGTTTAATTTTTTTTAATTCGAAAAAATTCAGTTTTGTTGCGTATATTTTAAGAAAAAATATAAAATTCTTTACTAAAGTGTCCATTGAATAAATAATATGATAACATTTTTGAGTGTCTGTTCCTACGTTACTATTATTTAAAAGTGGCGGCAACTATATCTATGCGGTAGTAGTGTTAATGTTTGAAAACATTTGGTGAAAGTTTTTTTTATAAACCCTCTACTCTAAATAATAAACATGGATAACCAGAAGTATTCCAAATATAAAGTAAGTTCATTTGTTTATTGAATCGACTGCTGTATACTCAGTGGCGTAATAACATCTAACAGCGCTCAAAGCCTGGTTGTTTTCTACTGCCCCTACACATGTTGACATGACTTGACACCCAAAAAAAAACAACAAAATTTATTTATGATGCGTTAAAAAAAAAGAAGTTTTTCGGGGAAATAATGTTTTTGTGTAGTATCTGTCTACGAGTGACGACTGTATAACAAAAAAAGTCCTCGTCTTTCTACCGGGCTTCTAAAAAAAAAGCTTTTTAGCGTGTACAAGCCCCTTTCAAAGATATCAAAGAGTAAAATAGGATATATGCCGTCAAAAATTACATTTGAAGCTTTAAAAAGTCACAAGGAGATTTTGCTTGAAAAAAGGACTGTCCTTTTTAAAAGAGGACATTAGGACATTAGTAATGACCCATTTAAACAGAGTCACTTAAATCCAGGGTTCGAAAATATGATGTATATCTGATATATATCGGATATATCCGATATACAGGGTGTCTGTAAAAGATCTTTACAAAAACATACCACATATTCCTTAGACCAAAATAAGTCGATTTAAGTAAAATTAACCTTAGTACAAAGTTGCTTCGTTTGGACTCCAGAGGGCCTCGAATATACAATTTTTAAATCGTTTTTCCCATATAAATTTAGAACGGCATATGCGATTTTGCTGAAATTTGGTATATTGGTAGAGTTTTATGTGGCAAAAAAAAAACTGAATTAAAATTTTGTCCGATAATAATACATAGGCGTAGAACTTGATTTTTTAAATAATTGCACCTTTAAAAATTCTACGCCAATGGAAGAAAAAGGAGTTTGAGTATGAAATTTAGATTGCGCAACTCATTTACTTTAAAAAAGGTACTCCTGATAAGACTCGATTACTCTCATGATTTTCGCTAAATTTCTATTTTAATAATTTAGAGTGTATAGGTTTCACAAAAATATTTATTTACAACATAATCAAAATAGAGATTTTACAAAAATTGTTCAAAATGTTCACCATTTTCACGCATACAAAGATTTATACGTCGAAGAAAATTAAAATGTATCCTTTCCATAACTTATTCATCACCTCTAAGATTGTTTATTGCATCTTGAATACGTTGCCAGAGTTGTTCCTCATTTTCTACAGGTTCCCTGTAAACTGTGGATTTCAGATGTCCCCATGAAAAGTAATCCATCGGTGTTAGGTCTGGGGAACGTGGTGGCCAGTTTACAAGTGCGTCATTACCTCTGCCTATCCATTTGTGTGGATATTGTTCATTCAAGTGGTTTCTAACGTTTAAAGAAAAATGTGGTGGAGCTCCATCTTGCATAAACCACATATCTCTCTGAAGTTGGAGAGGTAAATCTTCTAACAATTCTGGCAACGTATTTTGTAGAAAATCCAAATAATTTTCTCCAGTTAATCTTTGTGGAAGTATGACAGGACCAACAATGAAATTACCAATTATTCCAGCCCACACATTAATTTTGAATTCGTGCTGAAAATGGTTTACCTTTATTGCATGCGGTTTTTCAACGGCATAAACATGTTCATTATGGGTATTAGTTATACCTCTTCTTGTAAAACCCGCTTCATCGGTAAAGAGAACCTTCTTGACAAAGTTTGGATCTCTTTCTCTTTGCATATTAACAAATCGACAAAAACCCAAACGAATTTGAGGATCATAGACTAATAATTCTTGTACTGGCTTCTTATGGTATGGATATAGCAATTGTTCTCTAAGCACTTTATGAACGACATCTTTACTTACTCCTAGTTTCCTTCCAATTCGTCTGGTGCTTAATTCTGGATCTTCTTCAACACGTTCTAAAATGTCTTCTTTAACTTCCGGAATCCTTACAAAACGTTATCTTTCATTATCAACAGTGTTGGGAGCAAAGGAACCGGTCTCCCGAAGACGTCTCTCAACAGCAGCAAAAGTTGGGTGGCTAGGTACACGACGATTTGGAAACCTTTCAGAGTACACCCTGACACTCTCTCGAGTATTTCCTTCACAAAATCCTAATGTCAGTAACATATCGGTATATTCTGCATTGGTATATTGTACAGCCATATTAATAAACGACGCATTTGTTTTTTAAATTATTGAGTCAGATAGAACACTTTCAATCGTTAACAAGAGATTAGGTGTTAAAACTTGACAATATTTTTATTTAGATGAAACTATGGAAACCAACAATAAATGTTTTTGTATACGTATTGCAGGCAAATAATTAATATTCCTCAAAAAATCGTACATGGCAAGAATCGAGTATTTTTGTTAAAAATCTCGATTAGAGGTGTTGAAGAAGATATGAAAAAAGTACATTTTTATGTTTTTCATCGTATAAAATTTTGTCCGATAATAATACATAGGCGTAGAACTTGATTTTTTAAATAATTGCACCTTTAAAAATTCTACGCCCATGGCAGAAAAGGGGTTTGAGTATGAAATTTGGATTGGGTACTCATTTACTACAAAAAAGTACCCTTGATAACACTCGATTTACTCTCATGGTTTTGACAAAGTTTGTATTTTAATAATTATTGTTTATGTTCTAAAATTACTAAAATGCAAATTTCGTCAAAACCATGAGAGTAATCCAGTCTTATCAAGAGTATCTTTTTTAAAGTAAATGAGTTGCGCAATCTAAATTTCATACTTAAACTCCTTTTCTTCCATTGGCAGAATTTTTAAAGGTGCAATTATTTAAAAAATTAAGTTCTACGCCTATGTATTATTATCGGACAAAATTTTAATACCATTTTTTTTTCCACATAAAACTCTACCAATAAACCAAATTTCAGCAAAATCGCATATGCCGTTTTAAATTTATATGGGAAAAACGATTTAAAAATTGTAACTTCAAGGCCCTCTGGAGCCCAAACGAAGCAACTTTGTACAAAGGTAATTTTACTTAAATCGACTTATTTTGGTCTAAGGAATATGTGGTATGTTTTTATAAAGACCTTTTTATTTAAAATTTAATTATTCAATTAATGTTTCTTGCACAAACTATTTTTTAAATTTAAACACAACCATATTAACAAAAACCTATATTCTAAACAACAAAACCGTTTATTCTAACTCAAATTGAAAAGCAAAAACAAAAATAATATTCTACATATATTCTAAATATTCTAAATTCTAAATAAGAAAACTTTTTATTATAACATTGATAACTCTAATTAAAATGAAAAATAATTATATTGGTATATTCTCATCTGATGCATCTGATGAATTATTAATATCAATAATGTTATTCCTATTAGTGACAATAACTTCAAAATCTTTAGATATGGCTAGTTTCCATGTCCAGTCAAGGTTGGTTTTCGTTTGGTCTATATTTTGATTATACAGGGTGAGGCACCGAAAACGAAACATATCGCATGTCTTGAAGACATTTTTTTTGGAGAAAATGCAAAAAGAGGTCGATTTTTATTTCAAAGAGGGCATCTTTCAATCATATCCTCAACTATCCTACATCCCTCCCCACCCCTCTGTCACTATTACCAATGAAATTGAAATAGGGAAAGTACTAAGTGTGACACATCATTGAAAAGGTAATCTTATAAGGAATTTGACTGTGTAACAGTTTATTACGTAACTTTTGATTTTGGCGCCATCTTGCGGAAAAAGTTTCCGTATTTTAAATAATGATACTTCATTTGAAAGTAAAACTCATTTAATAGACAATTCATAATAAAAATTAAAAAAGTAGTAGAAAAGTAATAATAATAATAATAATATAATAATAATATATCTTTATTGACCAACAGTAAAAATAAATACATGTAATAAATAAAAACACAATTTAATAAAAGGTAAATAAAAGGTAAATATATGTATACTGTTAATTAAAAGGCGCAAGATCAGCATAGCTGTTCTTCCTCAAGAACCTTTTTTTTTAAATAAATTTCGTAGTGAAACAAAGTTAAACCCAGTTAAACAACAAAACAAAAAAGAAAAAAAAATACATTGCTTTATATTCTTATATAAAGAAGCTGTTTAATAAAATCCCTATGATTCAGCGCATTGTTCATTAAATAACTTAAAATATAACTTCTTTTTAAAACTATTTAGTTAACTTTTTCATGTCCGTGGGCAAATTATTATAACTAGTTACTAAACTAAAACGGAAAGACCTTTGAAATAAAGTAGTACGATGTTGAGGTATTGTTAAGAGATTTTTCTGCATAATATTGATATTGTGGACATCAGATCTATACGTTAGCTTGTCTAATAAATATGGTGGTGATTCTTTTAAAATAACTTTATGTAGAAGTGTTAACGAATGTAATTTTCTCCTGTTAGCCATAGATAACCAATGATTGCGCAGTAGAGTATGACTAATTCTATCATATTTTCTAATCCCAAAAATTAATCTTAAACATGCGTTTTGAAGTTTTTGCAATCTGTTTTTGTCCATATACGTTAAGCATGAGTTATAAACAGTCACAATGATTGGAATGTGACAACACTAGGGCATCACAAAGTTGACTTTTCAATTTCAAACTTAAGGCATGTCGATTATGGTAGAGATATTTGAGATTTGCATTTGATTATTGTAATATAAAACTGACATGTTCTGAGAACCTCAAATTAGAATCAATTATCATACCTAGGTTTTTTGTTTTTTCAGTTATATGTAATTTGTTGTTCCCTATGTTGATAACTAATTCATTCTTTTTTAAATTTCCAAATAATACAATCTGAGACTTAGATGTGTTAATTTCTAGGTCGTGGTTATTGGAGGCTTGGATAAGAGCAGCAAGTTCATTGTTTATCACAATTTCTGCGTGGTTTAAGTAAATCATAAAAATTAAATTGAAAAATTTAAGACAACTCCCATAATTAAAAACTAAATTACTTTAAAGTAAATGCTCAAAGTGTTGTCCATTAACTTCCATACACGAATATATTCTCAAATCTTTGTCTGACGTTTTGGAGCATTTCTGGAGTTATTTGACGACATTCGGTAATAATACGTTCACGT